GCGGTGCCGATGCGGCATGTGGGTGCCGGTTTGACGTCGAGTCGTCGACTTGACCAGACCAGTCATGCGGACTGTGAACTGCAATCGTGCCATATGCAGGGATGGATGGCCTGAATGCCTGACGCAGACAAATTGACGCAATGATGCGGGCGGCTAGCCAGTGACCAGGCAGCAAGCGACGTCCAATATGGCAATTCCTCTATTCCCTCCCACACGGAGAGTTGGAGTGTCGAACGACTCGAAAACGGGCGGACGTATTTGAATATTTGATCGAATTCGGGTCAATTTTTGGTTACTAGGTTGACCCAAACCCGACCCATTTTTAAATGGATTGAAAATTGAAATCCAAACCCGACCCATTTGTTAAACGGGTCGACCCTTAACCCGAATTTTCCGTATCATGTTCGGGTCGGGTTATCGGGTTGTTACAATAATTGACACCCTTAGTCGCACTGTTCACCTACCGAGTTTTGACATGAGATTTGAAGTTTGAATGTAGCGAATGGCTGATTTCATACGGTGATATGCAGTTTAGTTGGAGATGATATTTGAATCTTCAAATCTTACTCTTCATATTATTCTAGCCTAGACATATCATATTAGCCTGGTTGATGTTATAAAAAAAAATATATTCTTCTCTGATATTTATGTTGCTAATATCTCCCTTGATTGGAAATTACTATTATATTATCTTATGAAGATTGTGAACTTCGTGAATAAAATCAAAATTATTAAGGGTGCCTAACTACAGTAGATTTGCTGAGAACAAGTTGGATGAAAATGGTTCTCATTCAAATAAATTGGGTGGATTTTAATTATAATATTTTTAGTAAATTTGTTTTTAATTAAAATTCATTATAACATGACAAAATGGGGTAAATAAAATAGTATTTCACTTTTTAAAAAAAAAAAATAGTATTTCACTTAAACATATATATGAGTGCGTAATACATTAAATATGTTTATTATATTTTTTTATGATTAAAATCTCTGTATTTTTTATTTTTTAACAATTATATGACAAATATTATACAAATATAATACATGAATTTACTAACTGAATTTTTTAGTTTCATCTGAAATTCAATCAAATTTTAAATTTAAGCGGAAAGCCATGAAATCAGCCAAAAAAAATGTAACTGAATTTTTTAGTTTTATCTGATAAACTAAGGTTTATTTGGGATGATTTTCTTACTGTTTCTTAAAATAAATTTTTAGTGCAAAAAATTTAATTTTTACTAGAAAACTGTTTTAAGAAGCAGTACGAAAGCCGTCCCAAATAAAGCTTAATTGATTTCTAATTAATCGCTTCTTCAACCTAATCAACATATAAACATTAAGAACAAATGCAAATTGGGTAGAATAAGGCAAAGACAACAACATAATTAGAGAGTGAATAGCAGAATAATTATTAGATATAATACTTCTCGATCTAATATTCTATTTTGAGTTGAATCAAATCGCATCGTCCCATAAATAGAGTTGATGAGCATTTTGGATTAATACAATAAACTTTATAAATTTTATTTAATTATTATAATATCTATAATATGTATTGAAATAAACATTGTGTTGCATGTTTGTATCTCTGGTCAAGCTCTTTTTTTTTTAGGGTAAAAACTCACAAAGGAGTTTACGCATTAATAAAAAGGGAAAATTATAAACCTTTAAAGAATCATCAGCTCTCTAAAAGTACAGCATTTGAAATAAAATCTACGAACCGATGATTCTACCTATTACAAGTTTGAGCAAAAAGAGTAAAAAAAATACCAAAAACAAGCACACGACAAAGAAAGATAGCACCCTGTAGCCGGAAGATCCACAGACCATACAGGGAGCTAACCAAGCTAGCAACCACAAACCTGCAAAAAAAATAATCAAAGGAACATACAAGAGAAAAAACAGACAAACAACCAAACAACCAACAAAATAACAACACAATAGCCCACCAAAAGAGATAGCACCAGAAACCAGAAACAAGCAACCCCAAGACCACCCCCATACATCAACAACCACAAGAAAACACACCACCCAAATAGATCGAGAAAGGACAACCCAAGCCCCAAAGGGCAGCAACAACCCAACCCTAGCATAAACAAAGGACCAGCAACAACAAACAGAGAAACAAAAAACCAACCATAGCCCAGCCACCAAATGAAGCTAGATGAGGACCAACAACAACAAACGAAGAATCCAAAAGCACAACCAAATTACTTCTTCCTAGAATTTCTACAACGCCTCTTGCCAACACTGTGGGAAAAGGCTTTAGGAATAATACAACCAACATTCAAACCATACATCTCATCAATAGGATCCTCAAACTCATCTCTGTCACCGCCACAAGGAGAGGAAACAGATCCCTTTAACCAATATGAACAATCAACATCAGTACCCTTTGCATTTAACTCCAGTTGAGCAAACAAGGCATCTTTTGAAATAAGAGAAATAGAGACATCGAGATAAGGCACTTTAGCAACATCAATGTTAATAGGTGTTACAACCAGTTCAGCTAAAGCGGAATCACTAGGAAGAGACACCAAGCTACAAGAAGAATCAAACACATTAACCTTGTTAACATCACACACACCGACATTAGCTTCATCAAGACTCACAAGACTACTCTTAGAAGCTAACACCACAGGAATAAGAGAGACAGCAGGCTCAAGATCTAACCCATTAATTAAAGACAAACTATTATCAATATCTTTAATAATACCCTCACAACACTCCTGATCATCACTAGACAAATTAATGATATAAGAGGCAATAAGATTCATAGGCAAGCCCAGATCCTTGCCACCACTATCATCAATGCACTATAAATCAAGCAGACCCAACGGAACTGGCACATCAAGCCCAGTTCCAAAATTATCCACAAGACCTTGCACATTTAAATCGCTAACATTTCCAATTTCAACAACATCAATTTTCTCACACACTATCCATTTCCCGATCATTAACACCCACAATAGGAATCAGGGAAGAACCAGCATTTGGCTGGACAAAGACATCAGCCTTCCTCAATTGAGAATGTAATTTAGCACATTCAAAGTTTCTATGACCCACCTCTTTGCAGTGAAAGCAAAAACTAGGAAAACCTTCCAAAACGATCTTTTGAACATAATGAAATTTTTCATAATCAAGCCAAACATAATCAGGGTGTGACCTAGAAATGTCAACTTCCACAAGAATACAATCAACATAAGGTCTAGAACCCACAACAGTGACATTATACGTGTGAATCAGCCGACCAAATATAGAACCCAAACCAAATAGAATGCGAGAGAAAAGAGATGAGAGCGAAGTTCAGGAAAAGAAATCCAGACAAGGATGATAGGAGACTCTTCCAATAAATCAAGAAAAGAGGTCCATTTTATCAACTTCATAAAATACCAAAAAATAAAATAAGATATATGTGCATAAACCATACAATTATCAAGGTCATTAACAAGCTTGATCAAGACGTTGCTCTGATCCAAAATAGAGTATCAGAGAACTCACCCGATAGTTTTGGATTGAAAAAAAAAATCTAATCGCATCAAGAACAGGCTGCCGAATTGGAAACTTCCCAACCAACACATAATCAAAGGGCATAGCAAGATGAAGAAGCACTTCTTCCTCAGAAATTCATAATGCCGGCAAACCCCTAACGGTAATCACTTCCAGATTAGGAAAATCCACCAAAGCATCAGATCCAACTAATACCTCTTTAAAAGGATTTAGAACAACTCTTATAAGAGAGGAAGCCATGAATCAGATAGTTTAAAGATAGACGACATAAAAACCAAAAAAAAAATGCAGAAACAATAAAGAGAAGAATAAAAAACATACACTAACAAAACGGAAGAAGAACAGAGCAAAACCACAGGAAAATGCACAAAAAAATCAAGAGAAAAACGACTAGGGTGAAGCCCTAGCCCAGGGAAGGCGGGGCATGCCAGAGCACATGAGGAAAAAAACGTCTGAAGCACTATGTATATTCAAGCTCTTATAACCTTATTTATTACTTTGATTAGGGGTTGCCCAATAAATTAACAAGGCTCAATCAAAACTTTTGTAATTAAGCTACTAGTAGCCTCTTGATTAGTTCAAGAATAATATGATTAAGACTTTCTCAAAAAACTCAAAACCATTCCTTTTCTCATAAACAAAAGAGAAAGCAAAGAGATGACAGATCATGGATTCATTATACTCTTCAATAAACTTTCACATCTCAACGCCTCTTTATTTCTTTAAGCCAAATTGCCTATATAGCACAAATAAATCTCTCTCTCTCTCTCTCTCTCTCTCTCAGGGTGACTGTTCAAAAATTCCTAGCAAAATATTAAAAAATTATTTGAGCTCAAATTCAAAGCTGTTAGCCAATTTAGGATTTATTTGGCTGCTTATATAAATATTTTAATAATGATTCAATTATATATATGAAAATAGAATTATTATATAAAAATACAATCTTTGTGGGGAATATCAATATTGATTTCTAAATATAAATCTAACAAATTTAAGTATTTTTAAATTTCAGCAATTTATGTAGCTAGTTTCAAGCTAAACAAAATTTGAGTAATGACTAATGACATAGATAAGTGCACATATTTTTTAAGGTTAATTTTAATTTTTATTCTTATGTAGGCCAAATTAACTTTAATCATTCAAAATGAATTCTATATGACCTAAGCAACATCAAAATATTTTCATGCTTTATAACCAATTAAGGTTAGTGATGGAGAGTTAACACTCCCATTCCCCACATGCACCTAATTTTGGCACCAACAGCTGCACCCATTTATTAACCAGAATCGCTCGAATGCGTGAGGAATTAGTTGAAAATTAAATTTAAAAATCGTAATAGACCGACCACCGTTCATCCTGCAAAATGAGAAAAAAATTCCTCGCTGCACAGCCACCAACCTATGTCCATTCTCAAGCTCATCACTTTAAGCCAAAGTGCTATTCATTTTATTTAAAAATTATATACACATAGGTCTCCATCATTATCTTCATGTTTCCACTATCCCACTGAGATTTCTCATTTCCATCCGGCTTTTTAAAAGGATCTTGAAGGAATCACCACTTCCTTTAAAGTAGCTGGCAGCCCCACCTCACACCTCCGTCCTCCCTTCCTGAGCTCCGCCAGTCCTGCTTTCTCGAAGAAGAAGCTACAGCTACCCCATTATCATGGATGACGGATCTGCTTCTCAAAAAGAGTTTTTTAATGACTCATCATCTTCTCTAATGGCTTCTTCTCCTCGGTTCCAGTTTTCTGGTGCCTCTACCTGTGCTTCATTTGCTTGCATTTGAAGAAATTTCTTACAGATTTTTTTGGTTCTTCCTTCCCGATATCTTTGTTCAAGCAATTAGCTTGCCGGCTCCTAATTTTTAAAATATTGCTCTAACTCCAAGCTCTTATTTTGCTCCTCAGTGATCATCATCCATTTCTGTTTCAAAGTTTTTCTTCCGTGTGCTTTATGTTTTCTTCACATTAGCTCATGTAGAAAGTTCTCACCTTGCAGCCCCTTGCTACTCTACCTTGAAATCCTTTTTCCTCCACCTTCAATTGTGAAAAAGAAAAAAAAAGTACTTTCTCTTCAAGTTGTGTCATTTATTGATATATTCTCTTGCTGCTTTCCTCTCCCTCTCATTACTTTTCCCAATGGCTGAATCATACTTTCCTCTTCGTTGGGAAAGCACTGGCGACCAGTGGTGGTACGCTTCCCCTATTGATTGGGCGGCAGCCAACGGCCATTATGAACTTGTCCGAGAGCTCCTTCATCTTGACACCAATCTTCTCATTAAGCTAACCTCCCTTCGCCGGATCCGGCGGCTTGAGACAGTATGGGATGACGATGCCCAGTTCATTGATGCTGCTAAATGCCGGTCTTTTGTAGCCCGGAATCTCCTCCATGAATGTGAAACAAAGAACAATAAGAACAGTCTGATAAGAGCAGGCTATGGAGGTTGGCTTCTATATACTGCTGCTTCTGCTGGGGACATTGGTTTTGTTCATGAGCTGCTTGAGAGAGACCCACTTCTTGTGTTTGGAGAGGGGGAGTATGGTGTCACAGACATACTCTATGCAGCTGCAAGGGGAAAGAGCACTGAGGTGTTCAGGCTTATCTTTACGAATGCCGTGTCTCCGAGGGGTTTGGTTGATGGTGCAGGAGAGGCTGATGGCGGCGGGTCGAGGAGAGGGAGTGGGAATGTTTCAGTTTTCAGGTGGGAGATTGTGAACAGGGCTGTTCTTGCTGCGGCGAGGGGTGGAAACTTGGAGATGTTGAAGGAACTTATTGGGGAGTGCTCTGATGTCTTGGCTTATAGGGATAGTCAAGGATCTACCATTTTACATGCTGCATCAGGAAGAGGGCAGGTCGAGGTGAGTATCGTTTAAGTTTATGGATGATATGCTTGCTACTAATATGAGAAAGCCATCTTCTTCTTTTTTTCTATTAAGGTAGAATTAGCTACACTAATGCATGCCTTGTTAAATTTATTCCTAATTTTTAGCCTTCTTGATTTCAACTAAGGGTCTAATTTGAGTTGCTGCAGATTTCTGTGAAAATTGTTATTAAATTAGTGTGGGAGAAGACAGATTTTTTTAAGGTTAATCTAAGTATTATATGTTTTTTATCTTTTAAGAAAATCAAACAACAACTTTCTTATAGCTATCACTTTTTAATAAATTTGATTATAAAAGGTTGTTTCTCACTGTAAGAATTAGTAAGAAAGTTGCAGTCAAATAGGCCTCTTAGTTGTCTGAAAAAGTAAACTACGCGAAAGCTACCCTAGACAGGATAGATTATTATATGCAGAGTCCGGACACAGAGAACTGTTCGGTTTTGTAACTGTAAACAGTTAAAGCGTAGTTACAAAATTGAACAATTATCTGTGTCCAAACTCTGCACGCAATAATCTCTCAATCCATAAAAAAAGTAACCATCATTATTTTTTTTGCCTCAATTTTAATCTGCTTTTTTGGTATGTTTGAAGAGTTAAAGAATGGTTTGTTGACCTGTTAGTTGATTTCACAAAATGTTAGCCAAGACTTATTCTATTCTTTTGTTTCATTTCGACATTGAAGTTAATCAACTCTTTATTTTGGTTTGTGTCATAAAAATGGAGAGTCCGTATGAACTGTTGCAATATACTTTTGCTTGATCTGATGTCACAAGGTTTGACATTTTGCTGCTTATTCTTTTGTTTGTATCATACATGAAAGGTTCAAACTTGTACTGTTTTCTTAATAATATGAAGCTAAATTCAATTAATGGAGGGGTGCTTTAGATTGTATGGTCCCACCACCATCATAATTTCCATGCTTTTCAATACATGAAAGCAAAATATGCTTCAAAAGGGGCCTCTTGAATTTTGTTGAAGCATATTTAATAATATTGATAGCTTTGTCCATGCAAAGATACTTCTTTTTATGAGCCAATTAAGGCAAGCTCATAAACCCGTCGCGTATGCAAGTTTCAAATTCAAGATCTCTTTATTGATAGCAAAGATGCTTAGATTTAGGAACATGTATAAGGGGAAGAGTTTTCGTTGCGGAAACGGGAGGTGGAAAACTAACTTCTAAAAAAAATGTTTGGTTGGCTACTTATTTTCAGTTCAGTGGGAGTTTGTTAGAAGAAAAGCGACACTTCACTTGCATGTAATAATTGAAGCAAATTTCACTAAAGGGGAGCCAGATAACTAAGGTTTTATTTGGGGTAACTTAAGTTTTTCTCTTTTTATTTTTTAAATCTTTTTTTTTTTCAGTCATAGATTCAAAACTATTTTTTCAAAATCGAAATTTTTAAAATGCATAATTTTGATAAAATAGTGCAAAAGCTGTCATTCAAATATACGTTATTTTTTTACGAACTTTTTTTTCTTACCATAAATAATTAAAAAGTTGTTCCAAATAAAACCTAAATTCTATTGACCCCTACAGAATGACCAACTCCGCATTTGCAACAAATAGAATAGCCAGTTCTAGCTTACCTTCGCTTTGTGAGCTCAAACAAGTCCTTATATGGCTAGAAATATTTTACGGGCTATCCCTCACAACTGTTTCAGATGATCTTATTAGAAAGTAAATCAAGTAATTTGAGCTAGGCTGGATACAAAACATATAAAGAAAAAAACAAGATCGTAAAAAAGAATGCTTTCAGTTCTTTCAACAATTTTCACTGACTACATTTTGGTTTTCACTTGATGGAAATTAATCTGATATTTTTGTTATTTTTAGATCATGATCATTAGACCTAGCTCTATTATCAACTTTTTTCTCCTATTTTTGGAGTCCTGTGAAAATAATCTATAGGTACTTTTTTCCAATCAAATAAAGCTAATGAATTTATAATGAATAACCATAATTCATAATCTGAAATAAGTGACATTCATTCTTTTTTCCCTGCTTGGTTGAAAGTAAGGTTATTTGTTGCAAGCTTCTTTTTGGAGCTCCCCTGATATAGTGCAATATCTTTATAGTCATCAATGGAGTATCTTGGTTTATATTAATCCATGTGTTATTTCTGGTATTAAGTGTCCTGTCTTGATAATAATGTTAGATTTCTAATGGAAATCAAGCCAAATACAAGAAATGCTTAGGGATATGTCACAAGCATACACTTCTTTATGAATATTGATGTCACCATACTCCTACTCACATACATCTTACATGTGCAATTTATCCTTTGATGCACTCACACATGCATGATGGATAAGTTTAGGAGATGATAAAATAGCATAAAAGTTTTTTCAGTTGATATAAACATGGACTTTAAATTACTTAAATGGGAAAAGTAACATCCTTAGCACATAGCATTGGGGAAAGTAACATCCTTAGCACATAGCACTATACATAAATGAAGCAAGGTGTTTGCTTAGCTAGATTGTTATGTGCATCATTTGCAGATGTCTTCCCATTTTCTCTTTGATCACAAGAAGTTTTAGACATTATTTAGAGATTTTGATGATGTTAGCTGTATTAAAGATGAAGATAACATAGTTTTTGTTAAAGATGAATGACATCAAGGAAAAATGAAAATATTATTTGAAATTAATTATAAAATAATAACCTTAATGAAAATAATATTTTGCAGATGAACATAATAAACAATATAAAAATATGTATTATAAATTAATTCAAAAACATGAGGTGGCTCTGAAAAGATTTGTAAATATTAAGCTTTTGGCTAACATATAAGATACATATTCAGATTTTGATAGTCAAGAGGAATATTGCAGTGATCTGATTAACAAATCTTTTCAACAGAATTTTGATGATTGGAGAAGTATTTTATCACTAATACTTAAGAATAAATATGTTCAAATTTGTGTAAATTATAGAGGTACAAACTTATGAGTGATATAAATTTATAATGAAGTTATAAGAGAGTAGAAATATGTGCTTAAAATTACATCAAATTCGAAGTACTAATTTAATTTAATGCTAGAAAGATTGGCTATAATACTTATTTTAATATTAAGGCAATTAAAAGAGAAATATAGAGAATAAAGAAGGAATCTTTATATTAGTTTTATTGACCTTGAGAAGGCACGATTGAGTACCATGAGAATTAATTTTACGCACATTAAGTTATAAAAGTATTTGTGAAATCTAAGTTGATATTATCAAAGATATGTTTGATAGCTGTATTACAGTATTATTAGTAGTTGTGAAGTGTTCAAAGAATTTTCAATTACAGTAGGTTACATCTATAATCAACATTGATTTCAATTTTTTTTTTGGTATTGATTGAGAGGATGTTTATATTGGATGTGAGGCATCTTGCTGCATATCTTTTGTTGATGATATAAATCTAATTTGTGAGACAACCAATAAAAAGGAAAAAATAAGAATAATTATTGAGATGTTCAAAAAATAAAGGCATAGTATTAGTAGATAAAAATTTGAGCATATGATATGTAATTTCATTGGGTATGATGTTAATAATTATTATTCAATATTATTAGAAGATAAAATGATACCTACATGTGATACATTTAAGTATCTTGTATTTATTATATAGAAGAATGAAGACATACACGAAGATATAACTTCTAAAGTTTAGTTCAGATTGTTCAAATGAAGAAATGCTTTGGAAGTTTTATAATTATTGAGATTGTTCAAATAAATCATGGAATCTTGATCGGGCTCATCATCATTCCCCCAACATCTGCTTTAAATGCTAGATGGTGAAATTTTCAATTTTCAATATTAAATTTTCAACAATATTGACCCATGCTGCTACTATACACCATATATCCTGTATCTGTTTGACGACTAGCCTTAATCGAAAGTTCTCTCTCGTTACCAAGAGGGGTAATTAACTATAGGGGCTTGCATCTATAGAAAACTAGAACTCAGTTCATAAAGTTCTCGCAAAATGAGGGTGAAATCTTTGGTTAGTGTCTTATTTCAAACCCAATATCACTAAGGGAAAACCCGTTATTACCGGGTCCGTCGGAATTATGGGTTTCTGGCGCACTTTCCGGCGGAATTCTCTGCGCCGATTTGGCTCGCGTCGATAAATGTCTTCCGACGCATAGAATGCGCCGAAAACCGTTCCGGCACAGTTTCCGATGCATTACCGGCGAAAAAAATGATGGGAGCCGGCTACTTTTCGACCGATAATTCCGGCGACATTTGCGCCGGTAATTTGCGTCGTATGAGTCGCCGGTAATTTAAAATGCTGTTGGTACGCCGTAAATAACCTGCGGGTATGTTTACGGTGCAAAATATGCGTCGAAAACCGCCGGCGGATACGACGCCGGAACATGCGCCGGTAATTTCCGGCGTACGAAAAGACGTCGGTATGATCGATACGATTCATTGTATCGTCGTTTCCGACGAATTACCGGCGCAAAATCCGCCGGAAACCTGTAGCATTGACAAAAAAAAA